ATATAAAATAAAATAAAATGCTAATTCACTTAGCAGACATTTCTGTACTGAATTTTTACACTGATGATATTTATAACACTCATTCTCTACCATCCCTTAATTACAAATGATCTTATTCTCCATTGGTGCAATCTACTAAATATTTGTGTTTGATTTTGACTCACACAGTGGGTTCTTTTAAAAAATTCCTAAAATCAAATAAAAAAGCTGTTTTTAAATAAAAGCAAAACAGTATCTAAACCATAACAATTATATCACATAACGATGTTATTTGACAGGAAATAACTTCTTAAATTAAAAATAATAAAATATCAACTTTCTAAAGTAGTTCGTCGTCTTTTGTCTAATAACCAAACAAAGAACCTTGGAAGCCTTGCTTACTTCTTACAATACGATTGCACATTTAATTGAAGGGCTACTAGTGAGAACCTCATCGCATCAGGGGACAATATTTTATCAGTTGTTTTTTCTTAATTTACCTAAATTGGCTCACTTTAACTCATAAATTTGCTTCACAGGACTCCCTCGTGGATGACATTTGTTTGTCTTACTTCCAAATCCTGAGAATTCGATGGAGTTGTAAAGGAGAGTTATCTGTACACAGACCTTTTTAGTGGTTTGGGAAGAAAGTCATGGCAGGTTTGGGCTTCTTTACAAGTTTTCCTTTTTCATGCCTCTCATCCAGCCTGTCATTAATTTTGTTACTGCTTCCCGGATGATATCTTTTATTCCCTCTTTAGTTTAAATCCTAGCCTTTTTCTGGTTATACTGTTTGGAACCTTCTCACATTCACCACTTTGATCTGCATATTTTTATCCTCATTATTTACTGAACAACTGTAACACCCTGGCATTGTTCTTGGCGTTTTCACGTATATTAGTTCATTTGCCCTCCCTGAAAGTTACTGTTTACAGATGAGGAAAGAAGGTTAAATAAGTTCCTGCAAGATTCATGCAGCTAGTAAACGGTAAAGCCAGAATTCAGCTCAAGTCATCCCATCCTAAATCCAAGTATCTTTCCTCCAACAACGGCCCCCATTACCCAAACATTATAGTTAAAGGCATCTATCTTCTCATCTGGGTTTATATCACTGTGGGTTGGGCCCCACCGGTTCCACGGAGGCAGGTGAGGTCTTCCTCACTGCTCATTCAACAAATATTTATTGAGCTACTACTCTATTTCAAACATCGCTCTAGGCGCAGAGCACACGACACCATGTAAATCAAAGCCCCTGCCCTTATGGAGCTTATTGCCTAGACTGGGGAGACAAACAAACAAACAAACAAACAGTGTCTGGCATTGATACACATAGTCACCATCCTAATGCTCAGCAAGAACCAAAGAAGGAGATATGACTCCTTACGGAAAGATTCTTATTAGGTTTAGGACTATTTGTTTTTAAGGTGAATTCCTCCTCTAAGAAATAGACCAGAACTCAATATTTAAGCGACGTGAATATTATAAAATTCAGATGTCAAGAAGCAATTTGACCCAGTCTTTTGATTTTTCAATAATTCATATTCATGCTTACGTATTTTGCTTGTTGCATCCTGTTTTCATTGTTCCTGTTATAATATTTAAGTTGTCATCATTTCCTACTTACTGAGGATTCACAGCCATTAAATAAGAACATCAAAGGGCAGCAACTCTTTTCTCCTCACTAGGTCGATCGGGGCAGGTCAATTGCCCTGCAGGGTTAGGGAGCCTCAGCAGAGGCCTGCCTCAGAGAACCAGCCTTCTCAGGGGACAGTAAAAGGTCTTAAAATCCTCCCATTCAAAGTGCTCCTGCATCTCTTCGTAACATCAACCTGCTTTATTTTCATTGTTACATTAGGACTACCTCCTGGTAGAATCTTGTTTATTTATTTATTCCCAGTATTCTCCCATATCAGAATAGAGACTTTGTCTTCACTAGAAAGGACTAGGATATCAAATAACAGACATCTGACAGTTAATCACTGAATGAATGAGGAGATTAAATGGAATGAAGTCTTTACACTAAAAGGTTTCTTATTAAAGAAGACGGGAGTAGATATAAAAAGCCAGTATATCTGAGACCCGAGGGTACTAATGTTGATGGGTACTATTGCTACTATTGTTTTTAATAATCCCTAGAATTTTCCATGGTTTAGGGAGTCATCTCATCCTGTTCCCTCCACCACACTGATTCCTATCTTGGACGACTCCCTGGACTGTAGTGCAGCAGCTGAAATAAGAGGAGAGTTACCCTCCCTGTCCTCTAAAAGGTACACGGTCTGCTTACGCTTAAGCATGCTCAGTTGCTTTTAGCATGAGACCTCACCATAACCAAGAGAAAGGAGGATGTGCTTACAAATTATGAAGTCTGGAGAAAGATGAATAGCTCAGCACCTATACACTAGAATGCTGCAGAGCTCTGAGGAGAATGGAGTAAAAATAATCATTGTAGCTGAGAAGAGTAGCAAACACTGTAAACTATCAAAGTAAAAGCGAGCTTACTTCCAGAGAGAAAGAGAAGCTAAGAGGCTATATTGAGTCTGGGTCCAAACTCAGGCACTCACAGGGCTGTGTAACCTTGGGGAAATTACTAAACCTTTGAAATCTCCTAATTTGCAAAGAAGACATAATAATAATGTTAATATAGGGTTGTGAGGATCAACTTTATCAAAAGAGGTAAAGAACTGAATACAATGCCTTCATACTGCTGATGTTCAACTGATGTTTCAATATCACTGGAACCTTCCACAAGCAAAATACACAATTCAGAGAGAGGATAAGATGAGATCAATTTACTTTGCAATAAAAGTCTGAATAAGCCATTAGTATCTGTTTTTTAATATAAAATATATTTTAAATTTCATTTTTACTTATTGTTTCATAGTAAAATCAAACAATTTAAAGATAAAGAAATAGATAAAAGATCCTTAAGTACCTTCTAGGCTGGCTGTTTGCTAGGTACTATATATATAGCACTTTATTTAACCTCTCCCCTCCCCACCGTAATCCTATGAAAAAGTTGTTTTTGTTCCCATTTTATGGATGATGAGACATAGTCAATGAGGGTGAGAAAGTATTCAAGGCTACACACATTTTAAATTGCAGAGTTGAAATTAAAACTAGGTCTTTCTGATCCCATAGTCTATGTTTTTCTACTGTATCATTCTGTCAAATATACTATTCTATTTTTACAGTTGTAAATTTACTTCACTCATTGTACAATATTTTGATGAATCTTTTTGGATTCCAGAAATAGAGCTGCTTCTTCAAGACTGGTAAAAAACTAAACCTTCTCAAAAAAAAAAAAAATGAATTTGCTATTAAAAATAAGGTACTCATCCTCGCTGAGGGACCAGTTGGACTGGGAGTGCTTAGTGCCTATCCTTGCTGCACCACAAAGTCAAC